AAAAATCGAGTACATACAAACACCCACTAACCCCCCCCTTCCCCCCCTTCAGTCAGGATTAAATTATACTCTTGCACCCTGATGGCCTGGACTAACAGAAGCTTACGAATATCGAACAAAAAATAAAGACGAAAATGAAAAGAGGAAGATCAATAACCAGGGGCAAGGTCCCACTTGGGCATATTAGGAGATTTCGGCCGTTGATCTTTGCGATCTACGGTCAGTATCTCTTAATTCGTGCAAGTGGGATCTAGCCCCAGCAGTGCATGACCTAAAGGCCGCGTCCTGTTCCAAAAAAAAACGGCCCACGCTATTTCAGTCCCACGTTGTGTGAGTGCGCCGCGTTGTGGGGCTGTCCCACGCAATTTCTTTTTTTCTTTTCTTTTTAAGCAAACCATTGATTCCACATGAGAGACAGAGGCCCGGGAATACACCGCGTTGTGGGGCTGTCCCACGCTATTTCAGTCTACAGCCCCTCGAGGTTTCAATCTACAACCCCCAGTGGCAAGGATGATTCTTTATGAAAAAAGAGAAAAAATACAAAAACAAAAACCTGCCTTCTCTCCAGTTACTCTCCAAGGTGGCAAGGCCACACTCCTAGTGTTTGCTGCCTTTTGAATTTTCTTTTTTTTTTTGAATTTTTTTTAAGGGCGACGGCCTTGAATGATGTTGTTTTAGCATCTGGATTCGAGCTTGAGTCTGTATTTGAACAGTTCAGGGGTGTACCAACTGGGCTAGGCCCCTTGGCTACCTTTTCTATTTGAATCTTTGCATAATACTGTTATCAGGGGGTAACCGTTGTGCAGGTTTGCGTTCTGCCGCTCTCCACGAGGGCCTGTCCTGGATCGTTTCTGATTAGGTTTTCCCCCCTACAGGCTTGCCAACTAAACTTACTCCCCTGGGTCCTCCTCCTCCTCTATGCCTCTCTCTCTCTCTCTCTCTCTCTCTCTCTCTCTCTCTCTCTCTCGTGAGTGCAGCTTAGAGCGGGTCCCTGTGTGTGTCTATGTGTGTGTGTGTGTCCTGCTCTAAGCTGCACTCACTAGAGAGAGAGAGAGAGAGAGAGAGAGAGAGAGAGAGAGAGAGAGAGAGAGAGAGAGAGACAGACAGACAGAGAGAGGAGGCCGTCCAAGAGCGTTCCTGTTTTAAAACGAGTTATAACTGCACTGCGGGCCAAGATGCCGTTTGCAATTGCAATTTGGACACCCTACCTGGCCAGAAAGCTGCGTTGTATACATGCCCCAAAGTGAAATTTGAAACTGTATCTTGGTCCATAGTGCAATTAGAACTCATTTTTTTGTGACTCCCAGGTAGTTTCCCCAAGTGTTGTCAAAGATGTCTGTGTGCATGTCACTGCATGAGGGCCCGTGACTGCCCAACCATGGGACACAGA